ATGCCGAAGTAAGGATAACCCTCCCGTGGAATGCCCTGAGGGGCTGGGACTCGCTCCTAACACGCCACCCCGAAGGCAGAGCGAGCTCCTAAAAACGCATCCCTGGACATGGGTTATTCCTAAAAACGCTACCCCGAAGCAAGGATAACCCACCCGCGGAATGCACTAAGGGGCAGGGACTCGCTCGTAACATGGCACCCCGAAGGCAGAGCGAGCTCCTAAAAAACGCATCCCGGGACATGGGTTATTCCTAAAAACGCTACCCCGGAGCAAGGATAACCCGCCTGCGGATTGCCCTGAGGGGCAGGGACTCGCTCCTAAAAAACGCATTCTGAGACATGGGTTATTCCTAAAAACGCTACCCCGAAGCAAGGATAACCCGCCCGCGGAATGCCCTGAGGGGCAGGGACTAGTTCCTAATGTCTAGGACTACAACTCGGAAAGCGCATACAGTAACTTAAACGACACACATAGGGAAAAGGGAAAATCACCACAACTTAAAAAGACCGCATTGGAGGAGACAATGTCAGGGATGCAATAAAAGTTAAGGTACAAACACCAGTTCACAGTCGAGGACATACTCGACTCCAAAATAACTGTAGTAAACACAACACATTATGATTGGCCTCCTCGAGAGCTTGCTTCATCACCGCCCGCCGGCACCGAAAGGGCATTCTCGGAATTGACATCGCCTTCGGAAGAGCCCCAAGCTACCACCGCATCCCACACGGCGTCAGTATCCCATTCCAGCTCTGGATGTTCGCGGCGGAACAAGTGCCGGATGGAAGCCACCGTATCCGCAATCACCTTGGAACGTTTAGCATCGTCAATTTTGCGGAATGCGGGGGATAGCAGATATGAAGCAACCGCAGCCTTGGACGCGGCGTCCAACTCTGTTTTGTGCCGTAGGACGCTCTCCGACTGGGCTTTTTCAAGTTCTTCCACACGCCCATGCAGGCGGGATATGTCGGCTTCCAGAATCTCCTTGTCAGCCATCAAACTGTTCACCTTCTGCACTCCTCGAGACAGGTCCGCCCGGAGATCCTTGACAGTATCAGCATGTTCTTTCTCTAGTTCAGCCCTGGCCTCCGCCCGAAAGGTAGCCTGCCCATTAATTGATTCCGCCTCCAGCTCACCGATCCGCTTCCGGAGTTTCTCCGCTTCTACCTTGCCACGCAGATTGGCCATCTGCAGTTTCTCGTTGATCATCCCGACTTGGGATAAACCAACACCCGCCTGCGATGCCAAGATTTCCCCTCAGTGGCCATCAAAGTAGGCGATTAATGAACAAAGTGAAAGTACTTACCGCGAGAAGAAAACGGGTGGCGGTGCCAACCCAGTGCCTGCTCGAAGGATCGTCAACCTCGGTATACTCAGGCGGGACAAGCAGCTTCCCGGACAATTCATGCAACATGCGGCTGGCGCAATCTTCACGCAACGAGGAGTGGGGGGAAAAATCCACGGTTTCAGACAGGGAGGTCACCTTTGTTTTCTTCCGACCATCATCATTCTCCTCAGCAGGACTCTCGGCGGCACGCTTCCCAACGTCGCGCACTTTACGCACCGTTTCGCCTCCCGCTTGCACGGTCATCAGCCCGTCAGCTCCGCTCGTGAGCGTAGCTTGACCTGTCGGCGGGGGAGCCCTGTTCCAAGGGATCAGCGACTTAGACGAGGCCGCAGCGCCAGCAGAGGGACCGGGTTTCGTGGGAATCTGGGAAGCGGTCCCGGCTTTCGAGGAAGGGAGCTTGCCTCGCCTTGGTGGTCTCGCCATCATCGCCACGCTCCCAAAGTGCATGGCTGCATAAAAGGGAAAGCGGATTAGAACTACGGAATGCAAATACTTAATGGCAAAAGAGAAGCAAGTCAATCACGCTACTGACCATCTCCGAAGAGTTCAGTCAGAATAGACTTCACCGAATCGGGCCCCCCAGGCTTCACATTAAAAGGAGATAATTCGGCGAGACGGACGGCGTGATCCTTTTGAGAATCAAGAGTCCAAAGCTTCGCATCCCAATTTTCCTTCCGACCATAGGAGAAACCCGTCCTCGGTTCTTTATCGCCCGAATACCACTTCAAAGTGGGTTTGGCGTAGAAAAAATCCTTGAACCACGCATTATCAAGCTTCGAGGACCCAATAACGAACCCGTACGCCTTATCCCGCCGCCCGAATGACCAAGCATTGAAAACCCGTCGAAGGCCATATATAAATCGGAAAGCGGCAAAGGACGGTTCAACCCCAAGTCTTTGGCAGGCAAGTTTGTAAGCGCAGGCGTGAAAGATGACAGTGGGCGACAGGCGTCCAAGGGTACAGTTCAGGCACAGGAGTGATTGAGTGATAATGGGGTCCAGAGGGAAACGCAAGCCACACTTCAGCTGTTCGGTGTATATAGTTATCCAACCTTTGGGGCGCGTACCCGCTCTGGAGGTAGGAGACGGAGCGGCATACTTCCAGTCGGTAGGAAGCTGGTGATTTCTAAGGCGGGTAAGAATGGTAGCGGGCGTCATTTTGCTGTATCGGTCGGGACCCTGTTCGAAAGCGCGAGCGGGTACTTCTTTCCTCCCCCACATATGCTCGTGCAAGCGTATTGAATACGTGTCGTCCGCCACCGCTCGGTAATCCTCACCCGAGGTATCCTCCGAAAGCTCGAGGGAGGGCGAGTCAGGCAACTCAGGCGAATTTTGCTCCTCAATACTGAGCCCCTCTTCAGAACTTACACTTGCTACAGAGACGTTATCAAAACTTGCCAGATTATCCCCAATGGCGGAAGCGTCTCCCCTAGGAGCTACATTATCTACGCCTAAACCCAAAGCAACATCGGTCAATTCATACGACCCGTCTCCAGCCCTACCCAACAAGAACCGACCATCATCCGACCAAGAGCCACCGAAATTGAAATCTATCCCGCTAAAATCCCAGTCAATTTATGACGTACTAAAAGGCGATAAAATGTTCAGATGGAGCATACCTTGGGCGGCAGCGGTTATGGGATCCGTAACCATGTCCGACGAGTCCAAGTTGATCGACGTAGAGGCGGGAACAGTTGTAACGGCGACGCCGCCGCCGCCAGAAGCAGGAACGGCGGCGAGCACGCCGGTAGAAGACTTCTTTCGTCCAGGCGAGGATCTTGAGCCGGCGGAAAGCGGCGGGTG